CGACAGAAATATAAGGTGTTTTTGCCTCTTAAGATTTATCTCGTCTTCAATTTCTTCATCCCACCAGTAAGGATGCTGGTATTTATTACTGGTTTTGTGAACACCTAGGGCTTCTTTCGCTGCAGAGTGGATACAATCTTTGATGAACTGATATTGCTCTTCCGTGGTACCCGAGAGTCCATCCCCCAGCTTCTCATCTAAGCGTTTCCGATACAGAGCCTTGACACTAGGGTGCTCCAAACTTTCGATGTTATACCATACTTCATGATTTTGCGTTCCCTGACTCTGTTCATTTCCATCACATAAAAAAGGCATTTTTCATTTTCATGCTAGGTTATTGTTAGGCAAGACAGCCGTAAGTGCTATCTTCTGCTTGGTTGCGTTTTGGACACACAACAAACTCATTTTCAGGTTAGAAATTGTCAGAAGAGGGCGGCACTTTGCTTGAGAACACTGTTTTCATTCGCTCTCTGGAAAAATAGTGTCACTTACTGCTGTCTTGCCTAAAACTAATTCATTTTTTGCGGACTTAAGGCTTTTTCATGTGTCTCGTTTTGATATAATTAATATTAATTTTGCTGTTTTAGCAATTTCAGTGATTTCATCTGAAAGAATTTAGACGAATTTTAAAGGAGACTCGATTTTGAAAATTTGACACTTACTGCTCTCATCACTATTACGGCAGCACTCATTACAGGCATAAGCCTGAGCCAGAAGAACCAAGCGTTTGCTAGATTAGGTAACATGCGTCATTTCTACAAAATTATGAAATGGCAGCTCCAAACAAGAGGTCTTATGCAGGAGACTGGGGACCTGACGAAGAGGCCACCAATGAAGTGGTGAGGAGGCTGAGCAGGAGTGAGGGAAACCAATGGTTTCAAATTATTTTTAGGAGGCAGAATTCTGATCGATCTCAGGCAATGAGAATGGCGGGGGCAGGGATTGTGAGGGTGGTGAAAAATCAGCATTAAGAACTCGTGATTCTGACACATGGTTTACTTTTTTTTCGGATCTCAGATCATGGTCAATGACTTAAAGCTGCATCTTCGTGCGCAAATATCGTGTACAAAATTCGTAAGATATCGGGTTACCTACAAGCCCAAAATTTTAAAACAATTATTACTAACACAAAATATAATCTTCTTGCATCTCTGAATACTGTAATTCGAGTCTTACATATTTATTTCAAAATGCGCATATTAAGAGAAAGTGGCTGAAATTGGCCAACTCGGATTTTTCTCGATTTTTACCGATGATATGTGGGAATGCCGCGTCACGATGGGAGTGTCTATAGATACATTCATGTAATAAACAAAATAATGATGGATAATTGCATTTATATAATCTCTAATCGTGTGATCGCAGCGTATGAAAAACCAAGGGTTTTGAACTTTGCTGAATGTGCTCGACGAAGAACAGCCTCCAAATACTGAAATAATTACGCGGTTTTCTGTGATGTTAAGCAATAAAATGTGGCAACACAGGTTTTTCTTTTTTTTTGGGGGGGGGGGAACAAGAAATTTCTAAGAAGATCGTTTTAACTCTGAGCGCAAGGTTTGCCGTCAACGAAAATTGGCCAAAGTGACTATCTTACAACCTTAATGAACGTACTTGAAGGAAAATATTCTTCTTCGACGATGGGATCGTTATGAAACAGCGTCACGTCGAATGTCAAAAAACCTGCAATTTTCGCCAAAATAGGCCTTTAGTCTCATGTTTAGGCCAGTATTAGACCCCTAAATAGACTGAAAATGACCAAATCATGATACATTCCGCAAACTTTAGACTTTAAATGAGCAAACAATCGTAGAATTGAAGAATTTCAGGGTATGGGCCCAACAACGGCCCTTATCGAAACCCCTCCTTTGGAAAACCCCTTAATATCAGTCATTTACCGGTCTGCGCCTCTAACTGGCAACAATGTCGGCAGCCATTTTCGATTCGGAGGCTTAATTTTTTGTAGGAGTACACATCTGATCTCCTAGTCGAGCTTCTTGACCCAAGAAACTTAATTTTGAACGAATTCTTTGTTACAGCTGCCCTAAATGGCAGTTTCATCCGTAAGACCGGTGGCCATTTTGGGCGCCATCTTTGATTTTAGGGCTTCTGGAGAGCCGCAGCGGAAAATGGACCTCATTTTCGGACTCTACGACCCTGAAAACCTAATAATTGATACCTCACAATGCATTTAGACCCGAATAAGCAAATTAGTACCCGTAAGAGGTATTTTTGGACGCCATCTAGGATTTTGGCCTGAAAATGATCTTTGGGCTAACTTTTGACTGAAAATTCGGATTTTACAATCAAAAATACATAAGAATCGACACCCGGCACGACGTATTTGCAAACCTTAAATTTTTCTACCCCGAAACCGCCATTTTGGCCGCCATCTTGAATTTGGGGGGGGGGGTTGGTATGAAATTTGAGATGGCCATCATCGATTTTCTTTTTCTAGACATTAAAACGAAGAGATTGATGTATCACACACTATGCCTTCACGAACCTGCACACGGGACATATGTTTTGTTACGTATGCCCCCGGACTACTTGGACCAAGTCACTGATGCCAATTTTACACAAGGACTTAAACTACTGGGCAAAACAGGTGCGCGGACAACAAATCGTTGATAAAATGTCCTGAAACCAGGACAACGCAAACAGAACAACACATTATAGAATTTTAGGAACAAGAGCTTCGTTTGTATAGTGACCTTGATTACAAAAATATATCGTACAATACGTCATACTATCGATCTCAATCTTTCGACAAAAGGTTATATACCTTCGCCGCGGAGACTTTAACGCAAGGAAAGGAAAGTTAACCGGAAGGTCATATACATAAGAGTCGCTTTCAAAGGGCTCTCTGGCGCTCTGCGACGCCTAATCGCCGGCGTCTAAGAAAATAAAGTTACATAATTAAGTACACGGCGTCGAAAAACTGTCAAATTAGACCAAAGGTTAGAAAATATTAGCAAAACTTGTCAAGAAATTGTCGGTTAAGCTGTCGAAACGAAGGGAAAATATCACATTTTAACAAGCCTGCTGGCTGATTGTTGTTACATTAATTTATAGACAATTTTTGAGTCTCGGTCTCGCATTAACAGCAAATCGGATGGCTCATTTTTATTTTTTCCGGTTGAAAATGAAATTGTTAATATTTTGAAACGTTCTGGGTTTTTGTTTACCCGGTTGTTTTTTTGCAGCCTTTTCCCCAAATTAAGTTCTTGTTTTATTATGTGAATTTTGGCTCATTAAGTTATTTTTCATTTTATAGACAAAGGAGACAACGGGAAAATGGATTCTATCAATTGAAACAAGTGATTAATATATGCTACGGGAAAAAATGATGGACTATGTATAGGCTCCCTCGTAAGTTGCCGTTAGTTAGTCCAATTTTTACCTCATCCCTCCATTTCAACCACCCGCACCAGTCTTAGCTTCATTGGAAAAAAAAACACATTGGATGTAGAGTCCAGACTCTTGAAAACATTGACAAGAAAAAATACTCTTGATTCAAACAGATTTTTGCTTTGATCAAAAGGAAATCCGCTCAAATTAAGAGGCTTGGTTCTTGATTTAAGCAAAAATCCGATTGAATCAAGTGTATTTTTTCTTGTCGGTGTTTTTAAGAGTCTGGACTCTAGATCCAATGTGTTTTTTTTCCACTATTGAGTGTATAGTGGTTATATAAATTCGATAGGATATGAGTGCAAGGGTTAGCAGTTGCGCAATTTTGTTTTTATTTATTTTTGGAAAATCCGCAAAAAAGGAAAGCATCTGCATCATTCCGTTTCTCATTTAATCAAATTTTATCTGAGAAAATAGCTTTCAAAGTCGCCAATAAACCAAACCCCATTTCAAACGGAAGAATATCGCGCTAACAGATTTGTTTGATTTCGGTTGGAATCACGATTGTTAAAACTGTGGGTTTGGTTTCATGTAAGGTCATAATTCGGGTCAATAACAAGCTTCGATTTTTCAATCAGGAAAGCGTATTAGAGCTTCTTCAAGCTCGAAAATTCGTCGCACAATGCATCCTGCAATGGGCCTGTTGCAAACTTTTGCTAGAGCAAAAATAAGAGTTGTTTTTTATAGATAATGCCTCAAAAATCACGATGAGCGCATCGGCAAAGTCTGAAATGCACTCATAACTTCACAATCTGCGTAAGAAATTTGCGTTTTTTTAAGCTTCCCGCTTCAAAAACGATACTACGGCACAGGTGAACATTTTGTTAGAGGAGTCGCTCCATCGTCGGCGATATTCATCATGGCCGACGCTTGCGCGCAGTTCCGCGCGTAATTCGAGGAGAGTTCAAGGTCAACCAATTCGGGCGTGGAAAACATGAACGTTAAAACGCGCCGATTGTTATCTGGTCTAATCCAGTTCAGGTATTATCTCGTCCCATCACACGTGTTTTGGCGGATTGGCGTCGGCCATAATGAGTATTGCCGACGATGGAACGACTCCTCTTACAAAATGTTCACCTGTGCCGTAGTATCGCTTTTGAAGCGGGAAACTCAAAAAACCGCAAATTTCTTACGCAGACTGTGAAGTTATGAGTGCATTTCAGACTTTGCCGATGCGCTCATCGTGATTATTGAGGCATTATCTATAAGAAACAACTCTTATTTTTGCTCTAGCAAAAGTTTGCAACAGGCCCATATCTTCATTAATTGGAGTGTATTTTGCCATTTGGAACTATAGATTCTGGCTCTTCTGGAAAAACAATTATGTGCATAGGGATACTAATGACACATACGTTGTTTTTAAACCGGGCTAGAATTAATAGTTCCAAATTGCAAAATGTAGTCCAATTCATTCGCAACGGATTAGTTATGGTATCATCTATGATTGATGCTCTGTTATAAAATCATGCAATCTTATTTTAAGTTTGATTTATACTCTTTTTTTTCAAACTGTTCCTTTAAAGTAAGACACAATTAATGAAACCAAAATTCAAAAAAAGGAGTCACAATTAAGAAAAATCAAAATGGTCCACCTTGACAGTAAGCGGCTTTCGTTAGCCCAACATAATCAGAAAGTTTATCTCCATTAGCTAAATCCGTGCCGGGAATATTACCAATTATCCAGTGTTCGTAAGAATTCTTCTTACTATCCAAGTAACTTGCATCTGGCCCTGAAAGGAAAGATGAACACTATACCTTTTTCTAACTGTATTTTTTAGTAAAATATTCTAAAGTAATGCTGAAGGTAAGGAGGTCTCGGATGATAACGATTCTTAGAAGTGAATGTAATGAGTGAAAAGAGTAACGAAAGAAGTTGATTTCTTCAGTTTACTTTTTAGATTGAGCCTGTCCTCTCAATTTGCTCTCGCCTGCTCTCATTATGGAAGCATAACGTTGAAACAAAGGTAAACGTAGTGAATTTCTCTATGGTTTGTCGCTTCGACCCCGTGAAGAATAGACGTATATCATACATCGACAAACTTCCAAACTACGTCTCATTTGCGGTGTTTTAAAATATCGGCTCGTTTTTTATCGATGTTTTTTTTTAAAGGTATATCATCAATATCATTCCACGAATACTTTGCAGAATTTTCCGCGCACGGACAAAAAAAATCAAGAAATTTTTTAAGAACTGCCGTTGAAGGATTTTCCAATTTAAAAGTGAGGTATGACAGGAAGTCTGCAACTTTGCAAACGGAGATGAGCGGTTTGATACTCACAATTCGATTATGAGTCTATAGATGAAGTGCATATCTCGGTGTCCGGCGTTACAGACTTTCTTTCGTACTTTATTTTCTAAATTAAAAATAACTGAAAGTCATTTTGCGTAAATTTCTATGATTTGTCTTCTTTTTATAAAGAATATTCAGTGAAAACTTCAAGTCATGATGTTATATTGGCCTCTTTTTTTTAAATAAAAAGAAAAAAAAACAGTAGTGGCGGAGATTTTGAAACACCGCAACCGCGACCGCGATACGCAGTTTCACCTTCAAATTATTTCGATTGAAAAATGTAAGATCGAATTCCTGATTCTGCTACTGGTTCGTGATTTTCTAGTTAATTGAAATGTTTTCAGTCAGAACCGTTTTCATTATCTTTGAATTTATTTTTAACGATTTATCCGTGAATTTCTTACCTGATAGTATCATAATATACACCGCGCCTTCTTTTGAGGGCCACGATACGAGAGGTTCGTCCATAATATCGTCTGCGTTTATTAAGTCTCCTAATTTTAGCCTACGTTCACCATACGTTACCTGATATTGAAAGAAAAAATATTTCCCCATAAGCATTTTCGTTTTGGCAAACTTTTCAGTGATTAGCCTGTAAATTCTCCTTTTGAAAGACCTTCGTAAATTATTATTTTTAAAATCTTTGTATTTGCTGAGTTACACGCTGAAAATCTCAGGCTGGCCTTTCATAGTAGCATTGATACCTCGCCAGTTTTAAACATCATTATTTACATAATCATTTAAGTATTTATTGCGATGACGTTTCCAACGGTCAATTTGTTGGTCCTGTAATTGGGGGTGGATACACGCAACTCATGTGGAAGAAAAAAGAGAGGTAATTTTAAAATTTTCCGAACAATGCCCAATTTCACGTTCTTTTCTCCTTACCTNATATTCCGAAGGGATTTTTCCCGTAATCGAGTAGGAGAGTAAACTTATCTATGAGTTATTTGGTGCCGTGACGTGGCGTGCTTTGCGATATATCGATTGATCTGCCTCTTAAACGCATCGTAAAGGATCGATACACGGGGTGTTTGCGACGGACACCTTCATAATCGATTCTTTACCTTAGCTTCAAATGGAGGAACTATCGCTGATCGATCATTCACGGCTCACCAGATATGGTGAACATATTGATTTTGTACCTAGGATTATTAGCTGTCGATTTTCACTTCTCAAAAAAAGGTGTCCAGCATTTTAAGTTTTCAAACTACTTAATTGATAATGTGGGTGTAAGATTTGTGACAATGGCATTACCTCTACGATATTGGACGGGATGGTTTTAATTATTTGAGGAAAAAGTCGGAGTTTGCTTGCAATCGACTGAATCTCCTCGACGCTAGCGGCTGACTGATTGCCTTCGATAGCATCGATCAAGAAACCAAACACAAAAGGCAAGATTAATACTGCGTCTCGTCGTAAAGCAAAATAATCAACTATGATTGCGTACCTCATATTTAAATCCCAATGAAAAAGGTTATGTTATGTTGCATTACTTGTCACCTCACCTGAGTAGAATCTTCACAAGGAATTGTCACAGTTGAAATGGATATGTAGTCTCAAATTTGAGATGAGGAAAATCACTTTATCAAACCTTGCCTATCAAGACGGAACTGTGTCACCACCATCGATAAGTATAATCAAAGTTAAGTCAGTTGACGTCAGTTCCTTGTGAGCGGTGGAAGTACAGGGTATTATTAATTTCATTTAATAAATTCAAGCGAGCAAAAGATCTAAAAGTTTGGATTATTTAAGACCAGCCGAGATCTCTCCATGAAATAGAACAACCTCTTGTACTTTTTCAATTCAGAATAACTCAAAAAGAATATTTTCAAAAGGATATGGCTCCCTGCTTTTTCTTACTTCTGTAGAGGTTTCTTCTCTTTTTACTTTAGTAGGGGATCGTTCATCCGAGATACCTGCCAGTTTGTTGACCCACTCTTCCTACATTACGTCAGGTTGAGTGACTCCTCGCCCCAACCCCCATAATTGAGAAATAAAACGCAATTAAGTTTGTAGAAAGTAGTAGTTTAATATTCATTCAACTTTAAGTGCGGAACGAAATATTCTAAAAAAAGCAAACTTTAAGCAATAAAGTTAATCAAAGGACTCAAATTGTTAAAGTCACACAATAAACTAACGGTATAAACTAAAAATTACAATAACTTCGTGCAACACGTTGCCTAGTAGCCTCTCATGTTTTTTTTTTTTTTTATAATTCTTGACATGAATTTAAGCAATTTCTTGTCTTTTGCCATTTTATGAGTAAATGCTTTACAGCCTACGGGGGCTCTTCGAAAATGAATGGCATTATGTTCCTCAGTTTTTGTTTAAGAATGTACCATTCGAGAAAAAAATTAGGCAACGTGTAAAATTCAAATGCGGTGAAAAGGTCTCAAAAGTTAGTTTTTTTTACTACGAAGTGTCAGTTACACTGTGTAACTGCACGACACAGCCTCAATATTGAATACTTTTCACTGCTTGTCAATAGTAGCGCCTAATTGCAAGTTAACCTGCTCCAAAGGATATTTGCGTGTCATGAATAAATGAAGGCGTTTCTTGTGCCTCAAGCTCCAAGTGGGCTGTTACATTCATACAAATGTGTATGCTTCCTTCCTCATGCTTCATATTTTCAACGTGCACGTTAAAGTCTTGGAACATGAAATGTCTCAATATTTTAGACCAGATGATGAAATGACCAAGCTGCTTTCTCGCAACCATTTGATTTATCTCAGGTGCATTAAGTCGAGATGTCTTTATGGGCATTTCTGTATTTATTCATGTAGCGCTACGTAGTGATGCTCACTCTGTCGGTCCTGAAACATTAACAAACGCAAAATCTACGGCGATAGGATCTCCTAACTTAAATGTGGTCGCAAATTTTCGGGTTGAAAATTTTGTCCTATTTTGAATCGCTGATCTGAAACAAACGGTCAAAAATTAAACAGTATGATTTCTAGAAATTAATGAGTAAATTCAAAACTACTCCCCCGTTTGCCTACCAAAGATTTTGTATGCAAGTGTGATTAAAATATTCAGCTAATGTACGAAAGAAGATGTGATTCTTTTCCCCTCGGCTTTTACCTGAACTAAAAAAAATGTGTGCTTTAAAATCAAAATTTAAAAAATGAGACTCCACACAGTGCAATCAGTGGTGAGGCATGGAGAGTTAACGATATTTCCCCATTTGAAAATATGGTAAAGAATCGATCATGAAGGTCCTCGTTGCGAACACCCTGTTTATCGATCCTTTCCCATAGGTTAAAATGGCAGATCAATCAATATATCGTAATGCACGCCGTGTAACTGCGTGTAACCCTTATTCAAATTTTTTGGCTCCGAAATTCGTTTTTATTCCTCGAAATTTTGGTCAGAGGTAAGCCGAATTTTGCTTAACGATGTTTACAGATTTTTATTTTTTTTATTAAAAAAAAACGCAGAACTTAAGATAACTTACTCTGATTTTAAATATTTCATTGAATTGAAATCTATTGGAAGTTTCTGGGGTTGTTCAAAAACTGTCACGACATATCTATGAAAATCTGAAACAACATAAAATAAAATAAAATATGAAACTCGCAGCACATTGTAAGTCAATAAAATTAGTATGAAAATAAATACGTAGAGGGGGTTTTGAACGCGCCCCAAGAGTCCCATACGAAACCACAGAAATCGACTCTTCATCCTAATCTAATTTTCGTTCCTGGTGGCTGGTGCTATACAAAACTCACCATTGGCGGATCATTTGCACGCGTAATTGGAAAAAAAAAATGTCAAAAAAGCTATTTGCACCGAGCATATTTACAGCTACATCAAAATTACAGACCTAATAGTAGTGAGACATGAAGAGGTGCAATGAATTCATTTTATGCTGTCATTGATTAAAAATCAATTACCAGCGCCAGGGCCGGATTTACCTACTTACCGCCCATTGGCCGACTGTATTTTGCAGCCCTCTTCTCATTCGTTTTGAAATATCAATAAAAACGAACAGGGGAAGGGGTGCATAAGACGCTTTTACTCGTGTTGGACACATTTTTCGCGATCTGTCAACACTACTACTATAGGTTTACGTAACTTTGCGCGATAGTAAGTTCCAAAAACGTATCTCTGTGTAGACAATGCCTTCCATTTATAAGAAAGAAACTAAAAAATTATGAAAGAACAAACCTAAATGTGGTTTAATAATCTTAACTTCCGCCGCCGCCGCGCCGTGTCGCGCTGACCGCACTGTATTTGGCGCAATGCGTGAAGTATTCCTACAGTCTTGTAGGCGCTATGCGTTTCACGTCGAGCACTGCATACCGCGCGCAGTGTGTTCGACGCAATGCGAGAAGTATCCATGCAGGCTTGTAGGCGCTAATATGTGTTACATGCCGACCGCTGCGCCGAGAACACCTCCTTTTCATCTCAAGTCCTTTGTCATCATTGCTCTCTGCGCCGCGCCGTTCCAGGCCAAATTTCGTGTTTGGTTTCTCTCTTAACTCGACGTATTAAAGGTGCTGTCTCTTGTATCACCAAAAGACGAAAAAATTAGAAATTACTATTCTCTCCGGAAATGAGAGATTTTTTCGCCTGTTCTCGTTTGTATTTTTTTCTGAATCCGATTTTTTTTATATACCTACATTTAAAAAAAATTGTAAAATTTGCCACCCCCTAAATTTGCCGCCATCGGCCGCGGCCCAAATAGCCATCCCCTAAATCCGGCCCTGACCAGCGCTCTAAACGTTGTGCAGTTTTATTTATCGCTGTGCAAAAATTCAACTGCATTCCCGCCGCCACAAAGAGGTTTTAAAATAACACACGAAGCAATGGGTCCCAAATTATCTTGCAGCACGCCAGCCGTTACAATAAGCTCGTCATGAAACATGGCGCGTTTAGATAATTGAGAGATTTCCTCAAATTAATAGGGATACTTAAAAAAGTCATAATTCATTTGCTCTTCCTGATCCTGTGTCCTTACCTGGATCCTGCTTAAAAGCCTCTTGCCATCCAACGTATTCAACACACTTCTTGCCAGCCAACCCCTCATTTCCAGGGATATTACCTATCAGCCATATCAGGAACTCCCGCCCGTTGGGAGTTTTCTTGGTTGGGTAGTCAAGATCTGCAAAAGAATATAATTTTTTTTTTTCAAACTTGAAGCTTTTGCTTACATTCCTGAGCGCAAAATGGTAAACTATTATACTTATTTCACGACATTTTAGTTAATTGAAAAATTTGATTAAATTAATTAATTGATTTAATTAAAATTTAATTAATTCTTTTTCTTCAATAGTAGATTTATGAGTCCCCAGTCCATTTGTATCTTCGTTTTCAAATATGAAGAGGGTGGTGCATACAGTTCGAGGCCATTTCTTAGTGTTTCTTTTTCAAATATGTCTGGCTTATTTTTGACTCTATTTTATTCCCTCTCAAATATTTATGAGAACAATTAGCACGCAAGCAGGAACTATGCATCATTTCCTGAAAAAATTTGCCGTAAAATGCATTCTTCATATTCCTCTCCGTTATTCGTGTAAATGTTGCATGCCGATTATTTTTATCAAAGCTCCCCTCTTTTTCCACACTTTGATACCCCTTAATATATATTACGGAAATACTAGAAGGCACCAAAGTAAACATACTGCAGCTAAAAGCACTGCTTGGTAAATTTTAAGTTTCCACTTGTACCGTACCACCGAAAGATTTCAATACTGCGTTTTGCCTTAACAATCATCACGAACTTTCATAAAAATCAAAGAACACAACTTCCCGAGAAATTTCAAACTGACTTTTTTTTTATTTATTTATTTTTATTTCTTATGTGTATCGCACTAGATGTTTTTAAAATTTCCAAGGAAATACCCAGATCTGTGGAAACTTTTTGCCTAGTGGCACACCTAAAAGTCAGATATCGACCCATCGAGGTGATTTCGTCCATTTAAACCCATAGAAATATATCGATTTTTGGAGGAGCCAGGTGCTCCGACAAGGATCGATTACTTAGTATAAGTTTAAATGGAGGAAATCCGGTGTTGCCAAATTGCTGGACCCGCCCTCTGTTTAACTCTTTACTTTCGAGTGACAGTTTCAGTAATATATTTTCTCAGTGTTTCATTGTTAAAAGTAATGCTTTTTCATTGAGTATTTTACCTGTCATTACAAATGTGTAAAGCTTTTCTTTGTCATGAGGCCATTGAAACCATGAAGGAAAGTAAATTACTTCATATGGAACTAAAGTTCTTCCAAATCCCATAGGTAAATCGTACCACATGATCTGAAAGGCACATCTAAAAGCGTGAAAATCAATAATTTATCGCTTTAGTTTCCACAAAGACAAAGTAAAATGACGCATTACGTCATTTTCAGATCGAAAATGGAAAATTAATGTTCAAAATCCTGTAAAACTTGTCTAAAGTAGATCATACAGTGGTCAATAATTACAGTAATCACATTTTATTCTATAATTTTTTGACATGCATGTAAATCAAAATATTTCAAACTTAAATGAGTGCAATTATTCAAACGTCTGATTTTAAATCATCTCCCACTCTGACCCTCCAAAAATAAGGTTGTCCAAGAATTTAAATCGTCTGAAGAATTAATGCATATAAAAATTCTGTTTATATTCAATTCACTTAAAAATTTTCAAAATTCATTATGATACTCACATTTGCATTATAGTCAGGCGCTTTATCTAGCGCGTCAGGGATTATCTTTGTCCTTGTTAATGTTTCTTTAATTTCCTCTGCAGATACAGGAGCCCATGTTGGACCAGGTGAAAACTCAATATTGTCCAAATCTTGAGTTACGACATTTGTACAACTCATTGTGTGCAGTAACCCAAAAACAATGTATATTTTAATTTTCAGCATTTTTGTCGATAATTTCAAAGAAAAACACGATTGTAAAACTGTAAAATTAAAATTAAAAGAGAAAAAATCTATAGTATACATGACTTGACTAAGTGCGAATTCAAAATATACATAAGTGATATTTTTGACGTTTAAATAACGTAGAAGTATGAAATAATTTTGACAACTTCAGAGATCTATCCATTTTGCAACTTCAGCAAAAAAAGTCATGACCGTCTACTAAAAAAAGAAGAGCCGTGTTCCGCAGAGGACAAAATTGAATTATTAGTGTCGACGAATAAAGGAGCAGTTTACCAACATTTGAGAACAAAAAGTGCCCAAAATTGTGGAACAAAATCAGGGTTATGCCAGTTTGAAATTTACAATTTAAAAGACGCAATGTCATGTGTGGAGTAAAAAAATTGCTAAATTAGACGTAACTTCATTCATCGGCGTAAAAATGAGCTAACGCGCACACAATTTTTTTCTCAGGATACTAAAGGAAGAATTCCGTTCAATTCTCAAAATATGATTACCTACTGGACCTTCCTGAACAGAAATCGCTCTACTGAGAAAGCTGCCTCCGTGAACTCGAGTCCCTATCTCGGCGGGTAGTCACAATGGCAAAAAATTAGGTTTTTAATATTTTAATGATACTAAAAGTGTATTAATCCTCTTACTAGTATCGATCATGCATTTTATTCCACCGCAATCGATTTTGGATGGGGTGGGAGAGGAAAAGCTAACAACAAGCGCATGCACCTGATTCAGAATGAAGGTATACCGTTTTCAATATAGGCAATTGCAGGTTGCCGATTTCATTATGAATTCCATAGTCCACTTCTAAAAAAAAACCAACCAGGTAACATCACATCCTTGCAAAAATTTGAAATTATTACCTTTAGTAACCCAATTCTTGATTTTTTTTTAATTTATCCTATAAGAGCACCCGGTGGCGGAACTCCTAATAGTTGGATTGGTTAAGTATGTTGTATTATTTTCACATTGGGAACAAAATAAATATCACACTAGTCGGTGCACTCAAGAAATTAGACATGTTTTTTTTTTTTTCATTAATGGTGGAGAAATAATACGCTGCATTCTTTCTTCGTCACTCTTGAATGATTAAGTAAATATTATTCCACAATATTCAATTCATCTATAAAATTTGAAAGTGAATCATTTTTCTAAATCACGATCGCAACTATGCGAACAAGCTGAAAACTAAAATCTCGACTCATATCCCCCCCCCCC